AGGTGGCTGTTTCAGCATTGCTAGGTGGCTGTTTCAGCGTTGCTAGGTGGCTGTTTCAGCGTTGCTAGGTGGCTGTTTCAGCATTGCTAGGTGGCTGTTTCGGCGTTTCTAGATGGCTGTTTCTGCGTTTCTAGATGGCTGTTTCTGCGTTGGAAGGTGGCTGTTTCGGCGTTGCTAGGTGGCTGTTTCAGCATTGCTAGTGGCTGTTTCAGCGTTGCTAGGTGGCTGTTTCAGCGTTGCTAGGTGGCTGTTTCAGCATTGCTAGGTGGCTGTTTCGGTGTTGCTAGGTGGCTGTTTCAGCGTTGCTAGGTGGCTGTTTCGGTGTTGCTAGGTGGCTGTTTCGGCGTTGCTAGGTGGCTGTTTCTGCCTTGCAAGGTGGCTGTTTCGTCGTTGCTAGGTGGCTGTTTCAGCGTTGCTAGGTGGCTGTTTCTGCCTTGCAAGGTGGCTGTTTCTGCCTTGCAAGGTGGCTGTTTCTGCCTTGCTAGGTGGCTGTTTCGGCATTGCAAGGTGGCTGTTTCTGCGTTGCAAGGTGGCTGTTTCGTCGTTGCTAGGTGGCTGTTTCGGCGTTGCTAGGTGGCTGTTTCTGTGTTGCAAGGTGGCTGTTTCGGCGTTTCTAGGTGGCTGTTTCTGCGTTGGAAGGTGGCTGTTTCGGCGTTGCTAGGTGGCTGTTTCAGCATTGCTAGGTGGCTGTTTCAGCGTTGCTAGGTGGCTGTTTCAGCGTTGCTAGGTGGCTGTTTCAGCGTTGCTAGGTGGCTGTTTCAGCATTGCTAGGTGGCTGTTTCGGCGTTTCTAGATGGCTGTTTCTGCGTTTCTAGATGGCTGTTTCTGCGTTGGAAGGTGGCTGTTTCGGCGTTGCTAGGTGGCTGTTTCAGCATTGCTAGGTGGCTGTTTCAGCATTGCTAGGTGGCTGTTTCAGCGTTGCTAGGTGGCTGTTTCAGCGTTGCTAGGTGGCTGTTTCAGCATTGCTAGGTGGCTGTTTCGGTGTTGCTAGGTGGCTGTTTCAGCGTTGCTAGGTGGCTGTTTCGGTGTTGCTAGGTGGCTGTTTCGGCGTTGCTAGGTGGCTGTTTCTGCCTTGCAAGGTGGCTGTTTCGGCGTTGCTAGGTGGCTGTTTCGGCGTTGCTAGGTGGCTGTTTCTGCCTTGCAAGGTGGCTGTTTCGGCGTTGCTAGGTGGCTGTTTCAGCGTTGCTAGGTGGCTGTTTCAGCATTGCTAGGTGGCTGTTTCGGCGTTTCTAGATGGCTGTTTCTGTGTTGGAAGGTGGCTGTTTCGGCGTTGCTAGGTGGCTGTTTCAGCATTGCTAGGTGGCTGTTTCAGCGTTGCTAGGTGGCTGTTTCAGCGTTGCTAGGTGGCTGTTTCAGCATTGCTAGGTGGCTGTTTCGGCGTTGCTAGGTGGCTGTTTCGTCGTTGCTAGGTGGCTGTTTCGGCATTGCTAGATGGCTGTTTCGTTGTTGCTAGGTGGCTGTTTTGGTGTTGCTAGGTGGCTGTTTCAGTGTTTTCTGGTTAATTAAGTTAACAGTGGAGCCAGTTGCTACTATAGCATGGCTAAAATTATTGAAGCTGATTTACCAACAATATGTTCTCCAATGTCTTTACCTTATATACCAACATTACAGCAGAAGCAGAACAGCAGTGGATTCAGATCAGGTCAGTTCACCATCAGGAGCAGCATTCTGACCTGTTCTGCTATCCGCGTTGTCCGCAGTGCGAGGTGTAATCAGATAAAGGGTGATTTCTGATTCCTGCTGAGCCGCATGCAGCCTCTGCGGTCACTCTGGTCCCGGGGGGCCACACTTCTGAAGTGCTTATTAATATTTCCCTGCATCCTCCTGATGCCTCTTTATCTGCGGCCTGGCTGAATCACTGCTGCGCGAATCGGGCTGGTAAAATAGCAGCAGGTCGGAGTGATGACCCCTTCATACAGACCACACTGACGGGGAATGAAGTGCCCTATTCAGCCTGATTACAGTATAGAGAGAAGCACAATACGGACAGATTAATAACACAGACTGAGGGACAGCGGTAGATCCACTGCAGCACTGCCGCTTCTCACTGCTGTATTACTGATAAAAACAAAAGGAGGGTATGGTTTTATTTAATAATAATAAAAAGAAAATAATACAATAAATAAATTGTAATTATTGTAAATAATTACAAATATGTAGTTTATATGTAGTTTATATGTAGTTTATTTAACGTAGTTTTGTGTTATGATGTTTTATTCTAACAATTAGTTTTTGTGATATGGCCATATAGTAATAATTGTATTTCTGAGACACTTTCATACATTAGAATGCAGCAAGGAAAAAGAAGCATGAGAAACTGATGAAACTTATATTATACACTGAAAAAGGAAAGAAAAAACTTAGCAGCATCATTGCAACCACATAGAACACCATAGCAACTGCTCAGCAGAACCCTAGCAACAACCTGGGGTGCCATAACAACACCCAAGCAATTACCTGAGATATCGTAACAACACCCTAGCAACAACCTGAGGTACCTTAACAACACCCAAGCAATTACCTGAGATGCTATAACAACACCCTAGCACCCACCTGGGATACCAGAACATCCTAGCAACCACTTGGGATACCATAACAACACTCTAGCAACCATCTGGAATACCATAACAAAACCCTAGCAACCACCTGGGATACCATAACAACACCCTGGGATACCATAACAACACCCTCAATCATTAGGGATACAATAATAACACCCTAGCAATCACCAGGGATACTATAACAACACCGTAGTGACCACCGGGGAAAACATAACATTCTAGCAATCACCGAGGATACCATAACAACACCCTAGCGACCACCAGGGATACCATAACAACACCCTAGCGACCACCAGGGATACCATAACAACACCCTAGCAACTACCTGGGATACCATAACAACACCCAAGCAACCACCTAGGATACCATAACAACACCGTAGCAACCACCTGGGATACCATAACCACACCCTAGCAACAGTGTCCTAGATTCTGACTAATTTACTGAGAGTTAAGAAGCATGTTGTATAAGTTTATCTGTAACCAGATGAGTTTATATTAGTGTGAATCACTGATTTTGAGCAGCAGTGTGTGTCTGTGTGTGTGTGTGTGTGTGTGTGTGTGTGTGTGTGTGTTCCTGTGTGTGTGTGTGTGTGTGTGTGTGCATGTGTGTGTGTGTTCCTGTGTGTGTGTGTGTGTGTGTGTGTGTGTGTGTGTGTGTTCCTGTGTTCCTGTGTTCCTGTGTGTGTGTGTTCCTGTGTGTGTGTGTGTGTGTGCATGTGTGTGTGTGTTCCTGTGTGTGTGTGTGTGTTCCTGTGTGTGTGTGTGTGTGTGTGTTCCTGTGTTCCTGTGTGTGTTCCTGTGTGTGTGTGTGTGTGTGTGTGTTCCTCTGTGTGTTCCTGTGTGTGTGTGTGTTCCTGAGTGTTCCTGTGTGTGTGTGTTCCTGTGTGTGTGTGTGTGTGTGTGTGTGTGTTCCTGTGTTCCTGTGTGTGTGTGTTCCTGTGTGTGTGTGTGTGTGTGCATGTGTGTGTGTGTTCCTGTGTGTGTGTGTGTGTGTGTGTGTGTGTGTGTTCCTGTGTTCCTGTGTGTGTTCCTGTGTGTGTGTGTGTGTGTGTGTGTTCCTCTGTGTGTTCCTGTGTGTGTGTGTGTTCCTGTGTGTTCCTGTGTGTGTGTGTTCCTGTGTGTGTTCCTGTGTGTGTTCCTGTGTGTGTTCCTGTGTGTGTGTGTGTGTGTGTTCCTCTGTGTGTTCCTGTGTGTGTGTGTGTTCCTGTGTGTTCCTGTGTGTGTGTGTTCCTGTGTGTGTGTGTGTGTGTGTGTGTGTGTGTGTTCCTGTGTGTGTGTGTGTGTTCCTGTGTGTTCCTGTGTGTGTGTGTGTGTGTGTGTGTGTGTGTGTGTGTGTGTGTGTGTGTGTGTTCCTCTGTGTGTTCCTGTGTGTGTGTGTGTTCCTGTGTGTTCCTGTGTGTGTGTGTGTGTGTGTGTTCCTGTGTGTTCCTGTGTGTGTGTGTTCCTGTGTGTGTGTGTGTGTGTGTGTGTGTGTGTGTGTGTGTGTGTGTTCCTCTGTGTGTTCCTGTGTGTTCCTGTGTGTGTGTGTTCCTGTGTGTGTGTGTGTGTGTGTTCCTGTGTGTGTGTGCGTGTGTGTGTGTTCCTGTGTGTTCCTGTGTGTGTGTGTGTGTGTGTGTGTGTGTGTGTGTGTGTGTGTTCTTCTGTGTGTTCCTGTGTGTGTGTGTGTGTGTGTGTGTGTGTGTGTTCCTGTGTGTTCCTGTGTGTGTGTGTGTGCGTGTGTGTGTGTTCCTGTGTGTTCCTGTGTGTGTGTGTTCCTCTGTGTGTTCCTGTGTGTGTGTGTTCCTGTGTGTGTGTGTGTGTGTGTGTGTGTTCCTGTGTGTGTGTGTGTGCGTGTGTGTGTGTTCCTGTGTGCGTGTGTGTGTGTGTGTGTGTTCCTGTGTGTGTGTGTGTGCGTGTGTGTGTGTTCCTGTGTGCGTGTGTGTGTGTGTGTGTGTGTGTGTGTGTGTGTGTGTGTGTGTGTGTGTTTCACTCCTCTGTGTTGTGCTGTGTTCTGTATGAGCTGCAGAGTGCAGAGAGTAATTCAGTGATGGAGTGATGGTGATGTAGTGATGCTGATGGTGATGAGGAGTGACGGGGATGATGCTAATGAAATGCTGACAAATTGCCGTCCTCTCGCCCCTTTTTCCCTATCAGTAAACACAGTAACGTAAACACGCCTGTCGCCTTTTATTACTGCCTCAGCCTTTGAGGAAACGACGGCGCCTCAGTCTGCCTTTCATTAACACTAACGCTGATTCAGACCATCTACACTGAAACAGTACTTTACTGACAGTCTCTCTCTCTCTCTCTCTCTTCCTCTCTCTCTCTCTCTCTCTCTCTCTCTCTCTCTAGTTAAGTCCACTATACTGAACTATCAGAGTCCCACCACTGGGCTGTTCCCAGTGAAGACGTGCTCTGACTGTAAGGAGGCGAAGGTGAGGGACTCTCTGTACTGCGCGGCGAGCGCCTGGGCTCTGGCGATGGCCTACAGGTGAGACGCGCTCCGATACAGCATCACACTCGCTCCACAGAGGAGCCGCGACTTTACAGTGGGGCGAAGTTAGACCCTGAGATTAATCAGGGTGGAGAACCGCTAGAGAACATTCACCAGCTGAAGATACATCCATTTATCTCTGGTGTCACTCACAGAAGGAGTAATCGCAGTAGATCACTCTGAAGGTTCTTATCTAGAACCTTTCAGGCTTAGTTATTTACTTAGACTGTCTTGGAACTCACAAAAACAATTATCTAGGACTTTAGAGTTTGTACCCCACACCATTCACATACCTTAGCTGCTAAATTCCTTTGTATCCACCCTTTTTATTTTACTTTTTCATAAATTTGTTTTAAATGATTTTATAGTTTTATTTTACTTTTTGTAAATTTGTTTTAAATAATTTTATAGTTTTATTTTTATTTTACTTTTTTATCGTTTTATTTGAAATTATTTTATAGTTTTATTTTTATTTTACTTTTTCATAAATTTGTTTTAAATGATTTTATAGTTTTTTTTTATTTTACTTTTTCATAATTTAATTTTAAATGATTTTATAGTTTTATTTTTATTTTACTTTTTCATAAATTTGTTTTAAATGATTTTATAGTTGTTTTTTTACTTTTTCATAAATTTGTTTGAAATGATTTTATAGTTGTTTTTTTACTTTTTCATAAATTTGTTTGAAATGATTTTATAGTTTTATTTTACTTTTTGTAAATTTGTTTTAAATAATTTTATAGTTTTATTTTTATTTTACTTTTTTATCATTTTATTTGAAATTATTTTATAGTTTTATTTTTATTTTACTTTTTCATAAATTTGTTTTAAATGTTTTTATAGTTTTATTTTTATTTTACTTTTTCATAATTTTATTTTAAATGATTTTATAGTTTTGTTTTTATTTTACTTTTTTCATAATTTTATTTTAAACTATTTTATTTTTTTTTATTTTACTTTTTCTTAATTTAATTTTAAATGATTTTATAGTTTTATTTTTACTTTTACTTTTTAATCATTTTAAATTATATAGCCTTTCCTCTAACATCTTGCATTTTATGTGGAATATTAGCCTATATTTTTTGTTTTATTCCCAGTTTTAATCTTTTTTTATGCACAGTTAGGATTGCTGCCCAGTTTCGTTGAACTGCAGTGACGATAAAGTATCTTTAGTCTTGAATCTTCAATCTTACCTGCTTAATATCTAGAACCTAAAGGACTATAAAAGGAAATGTTACCAGCGTTTGACTCACTTTCGGTTACTCACGGCAGTTTGTTGGGTGTTTGTTAAAGACGAGTGACGGCGGTCTGATGATAAGGAAGCTGGGCAGACGACACAGTGTAAGACAACATTATGAGCAAAGAAGACTCTTAGAGAATAATGCGCAATTAGCGACTATATACAAACCAAACCGGCGTGATTCGAGCAGATGAGCTTGTTTGAAGTGCAGTAATTTGCGGGAGCAGATGTTCAGACACCTGGTCTGAAAGGAGTGGAGCGCTGGACATTTTTCAGTTGAAAAGCTCTGTGTGTTCAGAGCTCTGGCTGCCAAAACTGTTACTGAGTCTCTTTATAAACCAGGTTTTTACTCCAAACGTGGCCGATCAGCTGAGACGTGTTTGGTGGCTGAAGTTTTCTCCTGTAGTTTTGCGCTTACAGCTGACAGATAATGGAAGCTTACATCGCACAGATTAGCATGGTGCTAACTGCATGATGTGGACGTATAATGTGTTTTTATTCGGTAAAGCTATCGGATATCACAATGGCGATAAGAGCAGGGTAAACTATTATTAATATGTATAATCGTGTGCATCTGCACTGTAAATAATAATAAAGAGTACGGCCTGATTCCATTTCACCCCTCGCCCCTACCACTGAGCCCTTAGCCCTCTGTTTTGCGCGTTCACGTCTAGGGGTAGGGTGACCCGATTCTTGTTGAGATAGAGGGGTGGGGTGAAGTGTTGGGGCTACATGACCCTCCAAACGGAGGTTTTTCAGAGACTCCAAACGGAGTGATATGAGAAAAAAAGAAAAACCGGCGAGATGGAGAACAAGAGACCAAAGAAACACTCAAATGTGAGAATTTTCTCAATTAAAAATTTACAGTAACCATTATTTTATCTTAGTTTAATGTTGTTTCAGTGTATTATGGTCGTTTTCTTCATAACAAGCATAAAAAATAGTTAATAGTACGCTGATGTCTCGGTAGCTGGCTAGCTAACTTTCCCGTTCCACCTTAAATAGTCCAGCAGTTCTGATGTCTGAAGCACCAGAATGTAAGTTCTGCTCCATTTAAGGTGGAACGGGAAAATTCGAACAAGAATCTGCCGAATATCTGACTTCAGCTTCATATCACTGAAGAATTAGTGGTGGGCGATAATAAATAATTGCCCCCCTCTTTGAAGGCATATGATGCCCTAAATGTAACTAAAGCCCAGCAGTGAGGAGCTGAACTTTACCCTCCTCTGCTGTCACTGCAGACTGGCAGGGTCGCCTACAGAGCAGCGCTGGTAGCTGTTAATGAAGTGATGCTCTTTTTATTTGAGGGTCCCATTTCAGAGGGAAGATTTCAACCACTACCCTGTAACTCAGTTCCAGGGGGTTAGGGTGACTCTCGAAAACAAGGGGTAGGGGTAAAAAGGTGAAATGGGACTGGGCCTAAGTAACATGGTTAAGTTTTCAGTTCATTGAACTTGTCGTATTAACGGAAGAATAACTCGTCTTTCTCATTCGTTAACTTATTTGATGTTCACTGAACTAAACATTTTAAGCTTAAAAGCTGCATAATTGTTTACAGTGTGACTAGATATGAGGCAACTACAGACTTTTTTGTGGATTTGTGAGCAGAAATCTAATATCTCCTTTTAAGCAAATATCAAATTGCAAAATTATTAAAGCGCCGTATACTTTTGTGCAAAATCAGAAGAAATAAAATACAAACAGCTGCTTACTTCAAAACGTTTTTGTGCACTGAAAGTCTGAGACACACTCAGCGTCACCTCAACAGCGCCTGTCAATGTCTGTCATTTTTAGTTCGTTTTTAATGGAACGGTCAGATCCATCACGTATTGCAGCACTGCTCTTATTTTATTGTTAAAGCTACACTGGGTAAGATTTGGGGATTTGGAGACCTCTCTGGTGGAAATGTGGAATTGCACAAAAAGAGCTCAGTCTAAACTTGGTGAAGGAGCGTCTCTGAGGATGTGAGTGAATTATCCACTATGATCATCACATCTTCATCAGTCTAATGTTGATTTTGAGACCTAAACATCGAGCCGGACCTTCTTTTTGAGTCTGTGTGACGTTAAAATGTGAAGACAGACGATGTAGTGTGAAGATTTTTTTTTTCTGTGGTATTTAGGTAGATACAGCTGAGCTTCTCTCTCATTGGTTAGGACTTCAGGAGCTGGACTGAAGGCCTTACATGCTACATTAACTCCCAACATGATGAGAAGTGACAGAGGAATCAACCAATCACACTTTTCTGGAAGTTCTAGATACGTCACTGACTGTGAATATGAGTCGTAGTCTAAGCGGGTTTCAGTCAGTTGTTAGGAATGGAAAACAGCGGCGGCAGAACTCTCTACTGAGTCACTGTACAGCTGATACAGCGTAAAATATACGTTAATGACCGTGGTTAATCTACAGCAGCCAAAATGTTCATGTGCACCAGTGTTATCTTAGCGCTAACATACTATTGGAAGTCCCATAGGTATGGAAGAAATTAGCAGTGGAGCTGTTTTTTTCTCTAGTTTTGACATGTATGGCCTGAACTGAAGACCTGGCTCTCATGATTTGTCACAGTATGTCACACAGCTGTGGTCACTTACTCTGCTCCTGGAGATCCACCTTCCTACAGGCTTCAGCTCCAGCCCTGATAGACCACCTGATCCATCTGATTACTGTCTGCAGAATTCCTTGATTAACTAAAGGAGGTGTGATAGATTCAGGATGGAGATAAAACCTTCCGGAAGGCAGAGCGGCAGACACGGCCATACAGAGTCACATGATCAAGTCTATTAGACGTTACTGAACTCCACATGGTTCGAGGCGGATATGTGATGGTTTGTGTGCGCAGTTAGTGCTGTCTGTTTTGGGGTGTTGGCTTCCATTAAGTCTATTTGAGATTAGTTAACGACCCGACACGTATTTTATGTATTAATGTTTTAGTAGTAAATTACATGTAAAACCAGCACACCTTACACTGGGGCTGCTCGATTATGGCAAAAATCATAATCATGATTATTTAACATTTAAGTTTCTTGTTGACTTCGGAAACATCATGCATTTATTGAATAAAAAAAAGTTGTTTTTTTTTTTTAAACTAGTGGCTTTAGTTGAATATAATTCAACTTATAATCAAATTTAAAGAACTAAAAAACATTTTTTTTAAAAAATACATTTTATTTATGTGTTTGTTTGTTTGTTTATGTGTACCGATTTAAATAAATAGCATTAAAATAATAATTAAAAATGTGTTTATAGTACACTGACACAACCTACTGAAAACTAATGAACATCTTTAAAATAGTAAAGAAAAATAAATTAGACCAAAACAGATGAGTTTGAGCTTTTAGGACAGGGGTGCACTCAATTTATAACACAAGACAAAAAAAATGAAAGTATAATTGCAGAATAGATGGCAGCGCAATAATCATTTTTCTTTATTATCTTGATTTCATCATCATTGGAAGCTAAAATTGTAATTGTAAGTCAGCTTTGATTAATTGCCCAGCCCTACATACACATCTCTATACATGCCTTGTGCAGTGTGACTGTAACAGGACCCTGAGTGTAAATGGAGTGAATGCTTTATTATTATTTCTTTCTCTCAGTTTGTGTGTTTTCTGTGTTGCTGATCAGGCGTATTGATGACGATATGGGCCGAACGCACGAGCTGGAGCATTCTGCTATCAAGTGCATGCGGGGGATCCTGTACTGCTACATGAGGCAGTCAGACAAGGTGAGGGGGAGAGAGTCTCTGACTCACAGTGAGTCGATTCTCTGACTCACAGTGATTCGATTCAGTTATGATTCTCTAGGAGATTCAGTGCATCATAAAAATGCTAATTTCACCACAATTCTGTTTATTTAAGTTCAAGTTAGGATTAGTTTATTAGGGCCAGGATGGTACATTTTTCCCCTAAAGGTCACTTAAGACATTTGTGTAGTTGTAAGACCAAAGAACTGTCACGATTCATTTCTACACGACCATTTCTAGCCTCTCTTTATCCCGTACAGTTAAACAGGCTGTTTTATTACTGTACTTTTAAGACAGGCTTTAAGGGTATCAAACTTGACCTCTAAAAGGGCCATAAAAAAATCTCAACACCTGGGCCAGCTGTGCGTTTATTTCTTGACCCAAACTGGCCATTGTTTATTCAAAACAGCAACAGCAAAAAAAGACACTGAATACTTGACCTGTTCTAAAATAATCCAAAATAAAAGCAAATATATGATATGTATTATATTATATAAACAAATGATATTTTATATAGATTTTATATACAACAATAGGCTACATTACTACAGATCATTGTTAAACTTCTTTAACTGTCTCCAATGTATGGCTACCTGTTTGCTTGAACTAGACACCTGGCATCTTTTGTTTTTATGGTGCTGTCACATAGACACACGTTATATTGCAGTGCATGCTGGGGATTGTAGTGCAGCTCATGGTGAATTGGTGGATTGGAGGTAATAGAATTGTGTATATATACTGTGTGTGTGTATATATATATATATATAGCTATCATCTCTGACTTTACATCTACAAGGTGGACTGACGAGGTAGGAGTGTGTAATAGAGTGGACAGTGAGTGGACACAGTGTTTAAAAACTCCAGCAGTATTGCTGTGTCTGATCCACTCGCACCAGCACAACACACACTAACAGACCACCACCACGTCAGTGTTACTGCAGTGCTGAGAATGACCCACCACCCAAATAGTACCTGCTCTGTGAGGGTCCATGGGGGTCCTGACCACTGAAGAACAGGGTAAAAGGGGGCTAACAAAGTATCAGAGAAACAGATGGACTACAGTCTGTAACTGTAGAACTACAAAGTGCACCTATATAGTAAGTGGAGCTGATAAAATGGACATATATATATTGTGTGTGTGTGTGTGTGTGTGGTGTGTGTGTGTATCTTGACAGAATTGTCATAAAAATACATTTAAATGCATTTTAAATTACTTTTAAATTACTTTTTCAAACCTAGATTATCGTTACAAAGAGGCTGAGGGTCTTAAAAATGACAAGAAATGAACAGAAATTAAATGCAAGTTAAAAAGGTAAAAATAAATGAAATGACATTTAGAACATTACAGTGCAGCTTTTTGTTTGCTGTTTTGTTTACCTTCCACTCTCTGACTCCAGTAAATAAGCTAAGATGCGTGCTGCTGGTCAGTGTTTGGACAGTGGTAGTTCAGTTTGTCTGGTCGGTGGGGCACGCGGACCCTGTGTCTGTTTCAAAGGCGTTTGAAGGCGTAAACAGACGGTGATAAGCAGGTTGGTGCATATGTTCCTTTACTCTGATGTGCTTTTATGAGCACTTTAATGTGGTGTGAAAGTCAGTGTGGGCTCTCTGCCCAGTCTGGTGGTCTGTGGGGGGTGTTTAAAGTGTTCCAGTGAGCCCAGCATATTTAATAAACCTGTAAACCAAACCCACATCGAGTTACAGTGTCTATAATTGCAAAATATGTGTTTAATTAGGCTTTGTGCTGCTTTGTGGACACCTGGGGGTTTTGTATGTTGTGCTTTACTATTAGTAACTCAGGGAAACTGAATTATGCTGCACTAATGTGTTGCGTAATATAGTGGAGCTAATTTCTTAGTAGGGGGCAGTTTGACTGAAATTCATTAGGAAATCTTCAGTGTAATTTGTTTTGTAGAAAAGGGGTGAATTAGCAGCACCGCGAGGCTTTAAAGCGGTGAGGAGGGAAACGTCCCTGTTCATGTTTGTGTTAGTCCAGTTTACAGCAACAGTTTGGCGATAATGAAAGCTAGAAAAGTGAAAATGTGGAGTGATTGAATGGCTCATTCAGGTGGTCGCTAAGGTGTTGCTAAATGGTTACTATGATATTTTTAGGCAGTTGCTATGGTACGCCAAGTGTGGCAGCTCTGATGGTTACTAGGGTGTTGCTAGGTGCTAGGTATCCAAAGGGCCTGCTAGGTGGTTGCTATGATATCCAAGGTGGTTCCAATGGTATCATAAGTGGTTGCTATGGTATTCCAGTTGGTTGCCAGAGGGATGCGAGGGTGTTGCTAGGTGATTGCTATGGCATCCAAAGGGCCTCCTAGGTGGTTGCTATGGTATCCAAGGTGGTTACAATGGTATCATAAGTGGTTGCTATGGTATTCCAGTTGGTTGCCAGAGGGATGCTAGGGTGTTGCTAGGTGATTGCTATGGCATCCAAAGGGCCTGATAGGTGGTTGCTATGGTATCCAAGTAGTTACAGTGGTCTCATAGGTGGTTGCTATGTATTCCAGTTGGTTGCCAGAAGGATTCTAGGGTGTTGCTAGGTGATTGCTATGATGTCCAAAGGGCCTCCTAGGTGGTTGCTATGGTATCCAAGGTGGTTACAATGGTATTATAGGTGGTTGCTATGGTATTCCAGTTGTTTGCTAAAGGGATGCTAGGGTGTTGCTAGATGATTTGCTATGGTATCCAAAGTGCCTGTTTAAATGTCGCTAGGTGGTTGCTATGGTATCCAAGGTGGTTACAGTGGTATCATAGGTGGTTGCTATAGTATTCAAGTTGGTTGCCAGAGGGATGCTAGGGTGTTGCTAGGTGACTGCTGTGGTATCCAAAGTGCCTGCTAGGTGGTTGCTATGGTATTGCAGGTGGTTACGACTGTATCATAGGTGGTTGCTATGGTATTCTAGTTGGTTGCTACAGGGATGATAAGGTGTTGCTAGGTGGTTGCTATGGTATCGCAGGTGGTTACAATAGTATCATAGGTGGTTGCTATGGTATTTCAGTTGGTTGCTAGAGAGACGGTAGGGTGTTGCTAGGTGATTGCTGTGGCATCCAAAGTGCCTGTTAGTGTTGCTAGGTGGTTGCTATGGTATCGCAGCTGGTTGCTAGGGTGTTGCTAGGCAGTTGCTATGGTGTTACTGGTGGTTGCTAGAGGGAGAAAAAAATGTGCCTTCTGAGTTTTTTGTGTAATGTTGTTGATAAAATAGTAGTAGATCTATAAAAATCTTTTTCTTTGGGGACTATTTTGCCTCACAACACCCTGCATGTATCCCTCCACCATGAATGGATTCTAACAAATATGTTTTAAGCCAAAAACTGTCATTAAACAGTGTCTCAGTCATCAGCCAGTGAATTCATAACCATTTCATGTAGTAACTTTCTGTGTGGGAGCTTTTAGAGGGGGACGTCTGGTTCCTATCACCACCACTGTGAACAGTTCTGACTAAGTTTCTCTAGAACAGAGCGTTTCACACCAAACCACTCTGAATGACTCTGTTCAACCATTAACATTAATTTTAACCGTCCAATCACACAGAAATGTTGACAAATGGCTGTAATTTCCCTTTAGTAATAATAAAAATCTCCTTCCACTGTTTCATCCAGAGGGTGAATAGTAAGCGTGGTTCACCTTCAGCTTGTACTGAATATAATGATTATGCTGTCGGGTTATTCAGCCATTTAAAGAGCCCCGCTGGTGGTAATGCTTTCTTTATGAAGAATTAGCCTAATAAGGCTGCTAAAGAACAAAACAAACACATTCAGAGCAGCTAACACAATATATACAGCGCTTGTTAAAATAATTCTTAATTATAAGCCTATACAATATAGCAAGTGTTCCTGAGGCGCCGACTGTTCTCCTTACGCACACAGCTCCATGTAATCAAGGCACTTTCTTTTTTTTTTCCCTTTGAAATTGTTCCGTTTCATTTACTCCTGACCTCCAAGACCTAATTTGGGGGAAAGCTTTTCCATGTCTTAATTAGAATGCACCGTTTATACAGTTAATTACACAGTGCAGCGCTCATTAGCATCTGTCTCCGCCGCTCACCAAGAACATAGCAGCTTTTAATGCACCGGCTAAGTGCTGCTGCTAGCCGGTCAGCATCAGATCAGGTGCACTTAAAATCGCTGGATGCTGCAGTGGGCTCTGCTTTAAAGGGCTCATATCAAACGTTTTCCTGTTGTTTTATTTTTCCACTGAAAGTACAGTTATAATGGGGTTCTATGAACCCAAAACAGCCATAATTCATTTTCGTACTTCTCTTTATCCCTTAGAATTAAACAGGCTGAGTCTTTAAGACTGGGTGTGTTTACATGCACTCAGTAATCCGATTTCTGCAGATTTTTGATGATTTAAATGGTCATGTAAACAGCACAATCGGATTTCTCAGTGCTGTGAACTCTTACTCTGATTTCTTTCGGATTTCTCAGTCTGAGCATGTGCGAAAACAGACGGCGGTACCGGAAATAAGTGAGCAGCGTCGCCGCGAGACTTTTGGAGCGATGCTGAAACCAAATACATGCTTGACGAAATGAAGGATTTAAATATTCTTCATCTTCTAGATGATGTTTGTTCATATTTTCAGGTAAAGTGACTCGTTTTAAAACAAGCCGCAGCATGAAGTTTGAGTTTTACGTTACGTTTACGTCGCGTCTTCTTCTGTGAGTCTATTGGCTGGTTGCTCTTATGTTCCCCCTCAGATGTAGGTGGGGTAGAGAGGAAAGAACATGGCATGTGAAGGGAGAAGGAAGGAAGGACACAGTAGTTGCGATTTCAGTCGATGCTTTTTCCTTTACTTTGCTTCCCGTTTGCAAAAAGTGCATGATACAAAAATAATATCTAGAACAAAAGAGCAAAACCCATATTACAAGGTGCTGAGCTGAGAACGAGTGCGGAGTTAAAAGATAAGAGTCGACTAACAACTGCTTAAGTAAGAACATTGACTAGTGGGACAAAGGTGGATGGAGGGCGGTGCCAAAGA